GCCTATGCTCTTCCACTGTCCTTCAAGAACTGGACCCCGGTTACAACTCCTAATGCCTTTGCTCTACTGTCCCCTGAACATCAGGAAAAGCACCAGGTCCTGCAGCCGACCAGTTTCCATTCCACCCAGTCTCTAGTTTTTTCCCCTCTGTTTTTATTTGTTAAAGGGCAAAATGCCACTCCAAAAATGTGACTTATTTGTCAAAGCTCGAGACTCCTCGGTTGGAACAAAAGCCAAAGAAAGATCCCTGTGTCTTTAATAATGTTGTAGTAGATAAAAGGGAGTAGCAGCAGGCCAGCTCAATCCGTTCTACTGCCATATTCTTCTTCTACATGATTCTCTGAGAGATAAGAATCTGCTGGTTATATGTTGTTTGCCTTGGTCCATTTTTGGATCCCATGTTTCTTTTTTCTATAAACTCTCTCTCTCTCTCTCTCTCTGTATATTTGCATGTTTACTTTGCACTTCTGATAGACGTTTCTATGAGCACCGAGCAAGTTCTGGAAGCAGCTGGATGGGGTTGGTTATAAAAACATGAGAGAACAATAAATAAGAATAAGGATAAAACAGATATGAGATCTACAGAAGCTGCCGCAATGTTACATTAAATAATCACAAGTGCATGCAATGAAAGATGACTAAGCATTCCTGGAGAAACTGACACCCAGGTACTGTGGCTGTCATGAGAATAATATTTGCATAAGATTTCGTGGATGATCCCACAAAACACTCAGACTTAAAGAAATGGACCTGATCAATATTAAGCTTGAATTGTACTTTCACCCCTGTAAAGGCAAGAAAAAGAGGGTAACAGGCAGGAGCCTTTTACACGGAAATAAACTAGGGTTAATTGGTACAAGAAAAGAAGAACAGGGTACTAAGGGCTTCGGTGTACTTCTTTACCCAATGCTTCGACTCCCTTAAGACCAAATTTCAGGCCGCTGGGATTATGGAAGTTATAATCAGAACATCTGGAAGACCAAAAAGTTTCCCAGCCTTGATGCAGGAGCCTTCCAGGTTCCACATCTGGCATCATAGTTTGCACTACCTACGACACACCAAAGAGTAAACACCTTTGCCCTTGAAGCCTCCTTGGGATAAACAGGTACATTTTTCGTCCGACACACCAACAAGAGGGAGGGAGAAGGGGGAGAGATGCAAAACTAGATCAAACCGATCAGAGGCACCACATGCTCTTTGCTTTCTTCACCGTCTTAGCTCCATTTGATATTGCTCTCTCCCAAAAGAAGCAGATGCTGAATTTGCATGAAACCCTTTAGAACTATGTTGTGTTTGGCAGACAGCTTTGGCTTCCTTGTTTGAATAATCTCAGCAAAGCACTCTGGGGGTGCTCCCTCATTTGCAGAGCCATTTGGCTCTCTCTCTCTCTCCCTCCCTTGCCCGCCAGGTTGCCCGGCTGATGGTATCTCCTCCAAGGGCTCACATAATCCTGATGCTGAGCTCTGTGGCTATACACACAGAGATGGTGTCATCAAAACAAAACAAAACAACAACAACAACAATCAGCGACACTTTCCCCAAGCATTTTAAAGGACTTGGATCAAGTCCCGCTGTGCTCACATCCCTGACACGGCGAGGGCTAGAGATGGCCACCTTTCCGATGACACGGCGACAGCAAAACTCACGATACATCGCTATGTGCCATCCCTTGCCTGGCACATCTCACATGGGCCTTGTATAGATGGGAGCATTCTGAGAAACAGGTTCATATCACCCTTATATGACCTGCCTCTACAGTGTGAAGGAGCGAGACGCATTGATGAATAGGCCCACCTACGTATTAAAGGTTCTAATACGTCGCCTCAAAATACAATACTTGATCCACGAACTGTTCACCGATTCAGTAGGCAAGTGCAGAATAATTCACTGAAGTAAATGAACATGTAACACAGCTTAAGGATCTGCTCCTCGTTTACAACATGGAAGAAGAGTGAGAATCTTGGTCTTCCTCACCCCACCCCCCACCCCACTCACTAGGCTTTACAGACAGAAAGACTGGACTGGGTTTGGTGTGTGAGAGAGGATACGGTGAGATTCCTAGGGGCCAGGATTTTATTCCAGTCCCCAGGATAAAATGATTCAGCCTTTTAGCTGCTCCTCAACTTCGGCAAGCAGTAAGTGTCGCAACTACAGTACAAGTGGAAAGTCACTGGTTCAACGACATAGGCTCCCTGGATAATTGATCATGATGGGTCACAGTCATGACCAATTAGTCTCGCGTGCTTTTTGTGAGGATTGAAAATGTTCACACAGTAACATTGTGTGTTACTTTGAGCTTCTTAGTAAAAGACGGAATATACATCAGACCAATAAATGCGCAGATTTACAAATGGGAGCTAATGCTGATCCATTCCCCCTCCCTTGTGGATGGTTGTCGTGCACTCCGCAGTTTGAAAAAAGCCGAAATCTAACTGCCAATAAATGCCAGTGCCACAGAGAGAAATCTGCCCCTCTACCAAGTTACTGTTCCTGATTCTTTTCTCCTGTCCTTCCTCCAAAGAGCTGATTATAGATGGGGTTGCTCCATTTTACGGTCAAAGTGATCATGTGAAACAGGGCAAGATGAAAGTGTATATGTGGTGGGTTCAAGAGCATTTAATAGCTTCATATCCTATATAAGGATGGGGTTGCAAGTCTCCTTGGTCCCAATCCGTCATGCTATCTAGTGCTTCTCTTCTGCTTGCCTTATCGAGGACTAGCAGAAGAAATGATGCAAATTTGCTTGGCTATGGCGTGCCTTGAGTCGTTCTTCTCATTGCCAGCTTGCCTGCCCTTTTTTCAAGAGTTTGTTGAAATGCTTGCTAGATCCTTAGGGGGAAGACACCAAGTTTGCTAATCATACGGCAGTCTCTAAACTCAAACGGGGGAAGAGGAAGAAATGCAAAGGAAAAGGAAAAGTACCCATACGGTCAAAAATGGCCAGTCACCTCTCGAGTCCTGTGTCATCGTGGGTATAAATATTATTCTTAGCATTAACTGTGACCAGTCACGTTGAATGTATTATGTAAACTCAACCTTTTAATGCTGAAACCTTTTGATATGTAAATCTAAAAATATCACGACTCCTACCACAGGCCAGCATCAAAATCTGCTTTGTGGTCAGGCCCTGTTTCTCAAGAATAGGGTTTGGGTAGATTGTGAAACAACAGCCGGAGAAATAAACAGAAACTGCTTAGAGGTATAAAGGTCATTCCTTCTCTGATGTACTAAAGAAGGAATTTTCCCAACCATTTCTGCCCCCTCTATAGTTTAACTTCCCCCCCAAAAAACTACTAATTATTCTTATTTACAATATCATCCCACCAGCTTCTACGGGTTCCCCCCTCCTAATTCTACTGTTGGAATAAAATGGGTACATCTAGGCTTCCCCCACTGGGCTGACCTTTGAGCTCCCAAAAGCTTATGGGATCTGCCTCTTCCATCTGTGGTCCCACCTGTCCTGCTTTCTCAGGCCAAAAGCAAGGATCAGCTATACGTGTTTGGAAACACATCCCCATCTCCTCTCTTCCCCCCCCCCACCGCCCCATCTTTTTTCATGTTAATCATGCCACCTTGGAAAGTGAAGGAAGAGAGTCCAGGAAAAACTGATTAACAGATTCACACAGCCAAATGCTTTTTTTAAAAAAAAGGATTGAGAAGCACACACACCAACCACAACGTTCAGCACCAAGGACAGCGCCCATGCTTGCTCCTCTTAAATAAAAATAAAAAGAACCCACACGCCCTGCTAATCATTCTTGAAATATTGTTGAAATTGGACAGGTGCCTGTCGAAGACATTTGCGGGTCTGTTTATTTTTAGTATTGACAAATCCTCTTCGGATCATGCCGTGTTTATTCCTCTAGATGCCCTGTCTTTCTGGGAGGGTTGTTCATCATGCAGTGAATCAAAGAGGGCACCTTATGGGCTTTTTTTTAATAGTACACCTCAAAAGCAGGAGGGGAAATTGAAGAGGACATGAAAAGTTACACCCAGAAAATGCTGTGTTTCCTCAAAAATAGTTAGAAGCCATTTCTGTCCATATATTTGGATGGGGGGGGGGACTTAAACCTTTTGCTTGGGTTTACAATTGCTCTTCCTTCACTTTGAAACCTACTTTCCATCCTGTTTTTTAAAAAATAAATCTGTACTGATTTCTACCACCCTTGTAAAGACCACCTTTCCCCACCAGGGTTGTACTGCCAAAAAGTTACTTCTCCTCTAAATTGCCCCATGTCACTCCCTCCCCCACACCCCAGCCTATAATCCCCAAGACAGCGAGCACATAACTCCCCAGACAATGCCGTAATCATAATTTCTACTATTACATAAGAAACCTGACTTTAAGCAAACAAAACAAAAACGAGACTGGACTCAGGTTGGGCAAGGAGGCAGAATCCAGCTCTCAACTTTTTAAACTTACAGACTTTGAGAAAAAGGAAAATCTAGGCCAGCAATAAATAAACCTCGCACCTTAAGGTTTGTGGCGGCAGCTGAGAAGATTTCCACTTCCACTAAAGGGGAAAAAAAACTAGCGCTTCCATTTCCCACCAGGTGTCTCATTAAAACCACCTTTAAAAAAATCCCTGATTTGAAAGCCAGCAGCTTCTGTTTTTGGGGGGCCTGACCCTGCGACTTGAAACTTTGCTGTACCTTTGGCATTGCTAAATGTTCGTGCGTTTTTGTACAACTGGAAGGGGCCTTCTTTGACCCGTTAAATCCTGGGGGGTTTCCAGATCCTCCTAGTGGAGTCCCAGACCGAACCTCTCCCCCTCGATGCCCATCTCTTTTTGCCTGGCCGCCGGAATTCATCCTCTCCTCGCCGGAGAGAAAGGAGGGAGAGGGAATCAAGTGATCTAACGGAGCCAAACTTTCGCCTCGACGGCAGGGAAGAGAGCCCAGGGATGGGAGCGCGATCCGCGATCCTCGCCCGGCTCCCCGGAAAACTGCCAGGCATCCAAAAAAAATCACAGCCAAGGAAAGAAAAGGATGAAACTTACTGTGGATCTAGTCCTTTCCTCCTCGTCCGCCCAGGGAGACTTCCAGGGTCATCGCAGAGTTTTAAGGTTCCCGACAAATAGCTCCAAAGCGAAAGGGGGAAAAGCAGCAGCCGCCACCGCAGCGCCAGGGCCACCCTCCCTCCCTCATCGCGGGGACTCCCGGCTCCCGGGGAGACCCTTCTCCATCCTAGACGGCTGGACCTCCCGACAGGGCATGGCTGAAGTCGCGCCTCCGCCTCCGCGTGCCTTTGGATGCCAAGCGATGGGCTGGGTGGCTGCCCGCCTGCCCGCCCGCCTACCCGGTCCGAGCAAGGGGAAAAGGAGGAGGAGGAGGAGGGAGCGCCGCCGCCGCCGCCGCCGCCGCCGCCGCCCCGTGCCGCCGGGCGCCACAATCCCGCATGCCTGCTGCTCCGAGCCGAACGCCGCGCGGGATCAGGGAAGACAGGCGCGGTGGAGGAGAAGCCGGACCCGACAAGCCATCGACCGGCCGC